TCTATCTATCTATCTATCTATCTATCTATCTATCTATCTATCTATCTGAGAAGGGGTCTTGCTGAGTTGCTCAGGGCTGGAACTTCTGGGCTTAAGAGAACCTCCTGCCTCAAACTCCCTAGTAGCTGGGATTATAGGTGCATGCCACTGTGCCCAACACTAAGCAATTTTATCTCTAAAAATAGTACATCAGATATTATGTACCTGATGTAATATTATAGGAACTACACAGTACTTCTTATGAAGTAGTCTTGCAAAAAGTTTTGAATTTAAATTTAATGAAGTTTCTAAATCTGCAGGAAAAATGGGTGATACAGGAACATGTCACACAAGGATACAATCATCCAAATTAAAAAAGTGAAATAAATGATCCAGTTTCATTGACAAATAAATGGCATAAAAGAAATGTGAACTGCTACAGATATAAGAACCATAATGAATTAGTCAACCAAACGTAATGGATGGATCTCCTTGAAATGTGATTAAACAACCCCCCAAAAAAGACCTTTTGAAAACCTTTTAATTTCAGATTTAGAGAAAACCTCCCATTGTACTAAGAATTCCCACCTACCCTCTCCATGCTAAGGTCTTACCATGTTTACTTTATCACTCTCTATATCTCTAGCCCAGTTTTTTAAAAAAAAATTTTTTTTCTATTAGTTGCCTATGGACCTTTACTTTATTTATTTATATGTGGTGCTGAGGATCGAACCCAGTGCCTCCCATATGCTAGGCAAGCACTCTACCACTGAGCCACAACTCCCAGCCCTCTAGCCCAGTTTTTTGAGAGTAAATTGCAAATAGTTGTTCCTTCACATCTAAACACTTCAGTGTGCATTTTTGAAAAATGAGGATATTCTAATATATAACTACAGTACAATAATGAAATAATAGAATAGTAATACATTTACTATAGACCTTATTTAAAATTTGCCAACTGACTCACTGATGTCTTCTATAGCAAAAGGAAAACACTCATTTCTGTCCAGCATCCAATCCATCTGTTGAACTATGATTTAATAACCAGAAAGTTTGTCAGTCTTTGCTTTTTATGACCTTGACATCTTTGAAGAGTAAAGGTCAATTATTTTGTAGACTGTCTTTCAACTTGGGTTTGAGTGATGTTTCTTCATTACATCCAGGTTATACATTTTTGGCAGAAATCCACAAAAGTGATATTTTGTTCTGATTAGTGCATTTTACTAAGAGGCATGCAATATTTATCCCCTGATTGATAATACTGCAAAAGGACATTTTTGAGATAACTGGGTAAGACTGAAAATAGATAATACTAAGAAGTTATCATTAATTTTGTTAGGTATTATACTGGTATTGTGGTTATATTTTGTGGCAGTTTTTAAACAGTGTCATAAATCAATTAGTAACATATACATTGGATGGAAAAATAAAATTGATTATATTAATGTCCATTTTAGGGGACTTTTGACAACTCTAGACAGAAGGCAATAATGACAATATAATCAGTTTTTGCTCATTTTTTTTTTTTTTAAACCTGGAATTGAACCCAGGGACACTCAACCACTGAGCTACATCCCCAGCCTTTTTTACTTTTTGAGAGAGGGACTTGCTAAGTTGCTGAGGCTGGCTTGAACTTGCAATCCTTCTGCCTCAGCCTCCCAAGTTGCTGGGTTTACAGGCATGTACCACTGTGCCCAGCTTGATTATTACAAAATGGTGTCCAATTTGTACATTATACAGATCTCTGATCTTTTTTCTTCTGTAGCTCTTCTTTTTGTCATTACATTTATGGTTTACAAATATAGCCGAGAAACCACACTGTCAAATTAGTGACTTATTGGATGAAGGAAGCCTGTGGGGAGGAGGCTGAAACAACTCGTTAAAATCAGGCTTATGAAAAATTTAAACATTTCTTTCTGGATTATTTATTATAGATAATTATTACTTTAATGAAATGGGATGATTTAAGATGATAGGTCACACAATATAACTTTATAGCCAAAATATATAAAGTCCTCATTTTATTTTTCAACTTAATTTTTTGAAAACAGCATTCACTACAAAAAATCATTTCATCAAGAATTAATATTTTGCTGGTGTTCAAATTTAAACTATTCTATAAGTTTCACAGAAGAAAAACATGAAACTGTTTCTGCAGCAGTTTCTTCTAGTTTTTCAAGCACTCTTGAAGCAGCAACTGGTTCAAAATGCTACTTTGTTTCAAAGCATCTAGTTTAGATGTATCTTCACTGATAATGGGAACATTTTCATTTTGTTCCTGAGCTGTCAGGTCACTTTCACTGTCAGACAGTGTACACAAGAGAGTGTCATTTTCATAGGTTGGAAAATAATACCTGTAAAACAACCACAGATATATTGAATAACCTAACTAATAAACTGTCTAGAAAATTTCTAAGTTGTTGAACATACACATACATTATTATAATTTTGCTAGATTCTCTTACTAACAATGTCATAAAATTTTGCAAAGGTTTTACCGGAGATGACTTTGACTATCTTTCCTTTTTTGGTCTAACATGAGCCTTGCAAAATCTAGTCTTGCTACCTACCATTCAAGCCTCTACTTGATATCTATTTGATAAGAAACATTATCTTGAAAGGCAGCCTACTTCATATCGGGTAGCTCTAGTTGTTAGATAATACCTCCTTCATATGAGAATGACATCCCTTTAATTTCTACTCAAAAGGCTCAGTTATTCCCTATATAACAAAGTTAAAAATAGTTACTTTATCAAACACAAATTCTTCAAATACCCTATGAAAATATTAGGTTTCTCCTTGTGTTCTGTTTCCCAATTTAATCATTACTGGTTCCTTCATATCTAATCTCTGTAAGAAGAATTAAAAGAATGGGATACCATTTCAATCAGAGTAGATATGGACTCTCACAAATCTGAGATTTTTCTTAAGGAGAAAGACTACAGTTTTTTGACTAGTGTTTTGGGGGGACCTGATTTAACATTCTCTGAGAATAGAGAAACCTGGGTAGCTAGAACCCCATAGCTGGTTTCCCCAGCTGAGGTTATCAAGAATGATGTGGGAGCTAGCCCAGAAAGATTAGACTGTTAAAAGATACTTGGGAGTCTCACAACAGCTCAATAGGTACATATCAGATGACCAACTGTTTAATTTTCAAAGTGCCATTATGTAACAAATATACAAAAGTCTAGCAGCATGCATATCCAAAGTTATTTTATTTCTAGGAATTTACCTAAATGAAATAATTAGAATAAGTGTACAAAAATGTAGGCATATATAAATATCCATTCTATCACTATTTACTATTTATCAAAACAAAAAGAAACAACTGAAATATCAAAAAACAATTAGAATATTAAAGCCATATAATGGAATATTTAGAAAGCATTAAAAATGATACAAAGAAAGATGTTTATAATATTCTGTTAGTGAAATATAATTTAAAAAGTCCATATCTACTTCTGTATCTATCTATAGCTATATAAATTGCCACACCATAAAGTATGAAATAGTTGCTGTTATTTCTAAGGGATTATTTTAAGATGAAGTTTTTGAGGAATGAAAATACTTGTTTTTACACTACATATATATTCCTTTTTTTTAAGTTTAAAGAAATTAATTAAAGAGATGGAATAAAGAAATCAGAGCATAGAAGTTTATACCTATTTTGGAATTACTTACTCTAGTTGATCCCATGTCTTTCTTTCAGGAAGTAGTGAAATATGTTTAGTTTCTTCCATGTGAGTCCTTAGGTCTGATTTGGATTTGAATTTCACATGGCAGCCATAACATCTACATTGGTGAACTTGTCTTCGAATGAAATTGACCAGTTTTACTTGCTGATAGAAATTTAATCCTGAAAATGACAGCATATAGAATCATTAGAAAACTGGTCAGACCCATATTGCACTGCTATAATTTCTTTTCAATTGAAGTTTAAATTAAATTTATATTTTACACTGTTATGTAAAAACATAAAACTTCTACATTGTTATGGGTTATCATGTGATGCTTAGCTACATGTTTAAACTGTAATGTTAGATCAGGATAAACATCTATTTCCTCAAACATCATTTATGGTGAAAACATTCAAAATCCTTTGTTATAATTTTTTAAAGGACACTTAATTAACCAATCTGAAGAGGCAGTGCAATTATAAAGCATACCAAATAATTCGAGCCAATACTTACTTACAGGGCTTATGTGCTCAGGACTATTCTAGTCACTTTCCATATATTAATATATTTTATCTTCACAAAACACCAGCAGGTAGTAGTATCATATATATATTACATATTATTAAACTTTCCAAGGTTTCATTGCTAGTAAGTGGCAGAACTAGGATGTGACACCTAGCTATTAGCTCTAGAGCTGATGTTTCTGACTACTAAACTAATTACATATACAATGTATATACATGTCTGTAAGTGCAACACAACCAAGAGTCTAGGCAAGTACAGAATAAGCTGAAATGTGAGAAGTGAGAACTTCACTGAGATCCATGAGGAAATCAGTACTATATAACTCAATGTCCCTAATTCTTCCATGTAATGATACTGAGAATGATTCAGTTGGATATATGTGTAATGAATAATGCTAGCTACACTGCCAAACACTGCAGTAGGTGGTTTAGATACATTATTCACTATAATGTTTTTCTGACCTGAGTTCCAAGGTTATATAGGCAGTAAGTGTTGGAACTGGAGTATGAACTCTAATAGGACTTCAAAAATCTGTGTTCTTTCTATTGGTCTTCTCCACTTTATGATAGAACGAACCATTAACTTATATTTCATTGAAAGCACTTATCCATATAGGAAAGTGAGTGAAATTTTATGTGAAGGAAAACAAACCATATTTGAATATTATAGTTCAAAACAGATGAGAATCACTACTTCAGAGAGCTCTGGTAGGACCATCTATACAGAGCATTTTGGCTGTGTGCTCTCCAATCACGGCTATAAAACACAGTCATCATGTACAGGTTGGCTTATTAAAAAATGCAGCATCATGGAAAATAACTTCCAAATCAAACTTACCAAGTTCTGACTTTATTTTGAGGAGATTAAATTCATGTGCATCCTAAAAAAAGTAATGAATACACTTGTAAGCATATGAATTATTTAACCTCTAAGGATGAAGATATAGATAGCTTATAGGATGGAGTACTCCAGAAACAGCTTGAGTTCATCATCTTCTCCTTTTGAAATTTTCTAATTCTAACTACTTCACCTCACATTCAACTTCTTTTTAAAGCACTGTCCACAGAAATCATATCAGTAAGTTAAAGTGTTTTAATTATTTGTAGCTTATAGCTATAGTTTTCATAATTTACTGTGTCTGAAATATGTAGTCTGGTAAAAGTGTGCAGGTAAGATGTGGTGGCTCTACTGCACAGGGAATCTAAAATTATGGATACAGGTACTTTGTTCCACAAGCGGATAGGTAATTTCACTCATTTCTGTTTATTATTTTATGCTGTCAAATACACAACTTAAATGTGGAAGTTTCTCTTTACTCCTAAATTCCTGTAAATCATACTTCCTTTTGATTTTCACAATGCAGAGGCTTGCTTTATTCTGTTTCCTTTCTGTAATTGTGTCAATGTTTTAATTTATAAGGTGATGAAGGACAGACATCATCTAACTGTGATGGCCATCACATGCATGATCATCAGGAATTTATGATACATTGTCACTGAAAGTGACCAAGCAGAGGTTGAAGCCCCCTATTTAGGATGGGATCCCTACACAGCAGAGGGTACTGCAGTTCCTTTCAACTGAAAGACACTAGGCTATTAGGAGTTAAATTTAAACAGAAAATTTATACACACATATTCTGCTTTCATAAGGGTGAAGACATTTCTAATACTACCCAGGTTCTTATTTTACTGAACTAAAAAAGTTTATGAATGAAGAGGAGAGCATGGTCCACTGTTGACAAAGGTAACTGAGAGCAAGAGATGGAGAGAATATCAGAATCACTCAGAAATATTTTTCTATTATAATCACCTTTCAGCCCTCAAGCTGTTATAAATTATTATGTTCTCCTTCCCTACCCTCAGAATATACTGAAGATCAGAGGTGTAGGGAGTATGTCTCTCTTAGGTATACTGGGATGAGTAAAATTTAGAACTATTAGCTTCAAGCTTTACTAAAATGTAAAAATGGCACCCAGAATGAAAAGCAGGCTGGGAATATACCTGAATTTCTTCTCTCCAAATCTTGATAACTGAAGGTTCTATAAGACCATACCCTGGACACTGTTAACCTACTACCTTCTTCTCCATTCTTCCAGGAATGTTAAATGACAACATACCTGTTCTTGATTTTCCAGTTAATAGTCCTTTCACGCTTTCTCCAGAAGCAATGAAAAGACTCTGAATCTCTACTGTTATAGTTGGGTACTGTTAATTTTTATCTTGTAAGCATCTCAAAGGTGGGATGGTATTAGTGGTCTGTGTAATCCCAGTACTAATAGTCACCCTGGTGTAGTCATATATACTAAGTAAACTGCCCTGCGCTCTGGTTCTCCTTGATAGACCTGTCCTGTCTCTTCTGTTTTGATTATTTGCTTAATACACTTTTACAAATAGAATAATGATTGAGAAAACAAAGTATAAGCAAACAAAGGTGCAATAATTATCAGCTTCCTGTCAGAATGAAACAAAATTAAAATATATAAAAGCATCTCACCTCCATGTGAACATATAATTTCTCAATTGTTTCTGCTTGATTTTCACAAAATAGACAGACAGCAGACACAGGATGTTCTTCCCAATCAGACCATTTACTGGGGTAAAAAGAAAGAATCAAACAAGAAGCATGGATAATCTTTTAAATAAGAGGGTGCATTACATGGTGACTTGGTATTATTTTCTCATCCCTAGAAAATGCTGCCAATCTCAACTCTGACATTTTGGTAAAGATTGTCACATCATATTATAACTTTCTGCTATAGCTTTTGAAATTCAAAGCAGCACCATGAAATTAATATAAATAGAAAACAGGTGCTGCTCCATTTTCTCATATTTGCCATTCTTCTGAGCAGCTATTTCAACACAGAATCAGTGCAATGTTTTCCTGAGACAGCTAGGTTTAATTTGTAAAGGAATCATATCAAGAGATGTGGTGCTTGCTCTCATTAACCACAAGCACTAAGCACATGTGCTGTGAGGCGCGCGCGATGTTGGGAGTGCTTCTGCATGACAAACAGTGTATTTTCAAAAACCAAAATATGTATTTTTCACAAGGGAAATACCGATCATTTTTAAATGGGCAAGTCTTAAAACTGGTTGTAAACAGAGAACTCAAAAAGTATACATGATCTCTTTTAGTACTTCCCTGATCTACATGCATGTATTTTTGAAATACTTCTTGTCAAGTGAATAAAAGTAAAAGTGCCAGTATGGAAGAATTGTGAAGACAAGGAACCATCGATTCAAATTCAAATGGGAGAGTTTCTCTTGGCAAGTTTAGAAATTATCATTGTTTTGACTTTGAAGATCAACCTAACCCAATTTCCATCAAAGCTTCCCAGTTAGAAAACAGTGAATACTTTCCCTAATCCTATGCATCCAGGTGGGAGTCACTAGCCCATCTGCTCAAGGTCATGACTTAATATTTATAACCTTTTATGTCATTAAAACTTCAGCATTCATCTATTAAACATTGTAATTAGTATGTCCTAATGGTAAAGAAATATTTTTATTATAGTCTGGAGGACTCGCTACCTAAATCTTTCTATATCAAGTAAATTTAGCAAATGGTACCTCTGCAACTTTGGACTTTTTCACTATTAAAATAATCTCAATCCAAAATCCCGGGAGAGAAAAAAGGTCAAATAGCTTTTGTGAAAAAGAGAATCACTAACAGTGAATCCTTTCAGGTTGAAAAGAATACTTCTTAAACTTGTAATTTCAAGCAAAGAGCTATGAATGTTTTAAGTTAGTAATCAATGGGATAAACACAGAAAAAGATCAACTTCAATTAGGTTATGTTCTATACTCCAAAGGTATACTCAATTAGGTTATACACTCTACTCCAATGAGAGTTCCAAGGTCCTAAGATTTCAGAATCTGGAGATCAACTGAATAAGCAAGGCATTTTGGAATAAATTTTTCTCTGAAATATATACAATTGTTGTGCTAATTTAGTTGGAATAACTGTCTTTCCTATTAGATTTTTCTGTAAGACTTATTTTGAATTCACATTCTTTCCATATTACATGAAAAAATGCATGGCTCAAAGAGGGGATTTTTTTCTTCTTCTTCTTTTTTTGTCCTTGGAATGACAGTTTTAGACCAAACCAAAGCATTATCTTCTTACTCTTGAAAAACAGTAATTAATTAGCAGCAACAAGTCTTACTCTTCCTGATGGTCTAGGAACTCCCCATCATCTTCCAACTGAACTTCTTCCCATGATTTTCCAAGTTCCTTTGTAGGAAGAATAGAGTAAAGAGATTGAGAAAAGGGGAAAGAAGACAAAAAATAGTCATAGAACTTAAACAAAACAAAACAAAACAAAAACAATCAAAACCCCCCAAAACTAAAAAAACCAAAAGCCAAACCAAACTCACTAAAATAGTTTTGAAACAATACAGGTAGGATATATTAAGATTTTTATTTCAGCGATAAGAATAGTTATATCCTAATAAGCTTTCAATGTTTCTCTTTTTGTAGAAGCAGAAGTATCCTTGCAATCAAGTTCTTTTCTTTTAAATTTAAATCAGTGTTTTCTCAACCCTGGGTATGTATTAGAATGTCTTGTGAATCTTTAAAAAAATCCACCATATCTCCTGACAGAGATCCTGAAACAACCTCCTAAATGGACTATTTCTACTCTAGGGCCCCTGTGGTCTATTTCCCAGCCAGCAGCCACAGTAGTCTTTCAAAGGATACTTCTCTATATGTACAAACCCTCTCACGGCGTCCCATCACTGAAGAAAATTCAGATCTGATGATGGCTTATGAGACCTCCATAGCCTCTTTGGCTCTCCATCCTTATTTCCCAATACCTTTTTTCTTCCTCAATATACTCCAGACCAGTCTTTTTGCTATGCCTTGGACACAGCATAGTTACACCACCCAGCTCTTTCATACTTGTTGCATCCTCTGCCTGAAATGCTGCTCTCCCATGTGCCTCCACTGGCTCAGTCACTCTGGACTACTCTGTCTAAAACAATACTCCTCTCGAAAGTTACTTTTTTTTCCCTTCTGTCATGTTTTATTGTTTTTATAAGCACTGATCACTACCTTAAATCATTGTCTGTATCTGTTTGTTTTCTTATTTGTTCACTTCCCCCACTAGACTGTCCAGGAGGATGTGGCCTTTGTTTATGCATACGTTTCCAGCGACTGGCATACAGTGGGTACTAGAAAGTATTTTGTGAGTTGGATTATAACTAAAAAAATCTAAAAATTTGAGGACAACTTAGAACTTACCTCAACAGTATTTTGTAAGATGACTAAAAGACGTCTATAAAGCACATAGTACTGGCCATGAGTAGGTGCTCAAGTACCCATTCAAATCCTTTTTATCCCTTACAGTTAGTAGAACAATTCTCCCTTGTGAAGGCTATGTCTGGCAAGCCTAGTCCCAATTCCAGCAAAACTTTAAGGATTGAAGAGCAGGAATGATTTCTTCTGAGCTATTCCCCTGTTTTTGTCCTGTCTTCTCTCTCCACCAACTTCAAACTATGCTAGGCAAAAGCAGATGGTGCACCATAGAGGAATGTAGAAGTATTAATGGACACCTTTAAGCAGGAACCTCTGGAGGGGGTCAATTCCAGCTTGACTTGCTATAAGCACAGATAACAGTATTCAATATCCTTCTTTTGGAAAAACACCACCCAAATTCACTTAGTTATGAATATTTATTTTCTCAAATAAAAGTATTCATTAAGCTAAAAACAAAGAACTGTGAGTGCCATTATGATTTAGTGGGAGAAAGAAAAATCTATCATCCATCAACTTAACAAAAAGTTTTGAAGATATCATTACAGAGAGTAAATTTGGACTCTACAGTATATTTCCCAGAGTTATCATAAAGCATGTAAACATCAAGAATGGCTTCTACACTATTAACAGGATCTTTATTAGAACATTTGGCAATAAATTAATCTTTCTTGCCATATTTGGTCTCTCTGGATAAGGACTTTTGGTCATGCTTTTATTGCTGCAAGATATTATCAAGTATGAACCATCTGTGATATTATCATTCTAAATGATATAGGAAAAGGATGTTTATCAATAAATGTTTTGAGCCAAAAGGACAACAACAAAAATATATCTTTCACTGTCAAATTTCCAAACTGAAAAGCATAATTTTATAATTTCTGTGGTGTTCAGTACAACACGTAAATGTAAGAATTTACTTAGGTAATATAGTATCAAACATTTATCAAACTCGAGAGGAAAATAGAAATATATGTTCATTAGTATATTAGGAAATAAGCAATTACCATGTGACATAGCCCAGGCTTCCCTAAAGCACTCTACTTTGGTACTGTTAAATGTATGGTTTATTACAGGAACAAGACCCACAGAGAAAAAAAAATTACAAAAAATAAAGCACATAACTCCTTAATTAAGATGCTGTGCCTGCTAATGAATCATTTAGGAAAGCAAAGGATGCAAGAAAAACAAAGTTTGGAAGCCATATCAGTAAAGATGTTCAGAACACCCCCTCAAACCCCAGCATCAGATGGCTTATGAACAATGAGAGGGTGGAAGAAAACATAAAAAAAAAAAAAAAAAAGAAAAGATCCCAACCAGCACACTCCCCCCAATACATACACTTACATATGCTTGCACACATACACACACACACACACACACATGCACACACACAAAAAAAACCCAGTAACATTTAAAATGTGAACAAATTAGAGCGAACTATAACAAAACCATGAGAAACAGGTTAAGAGTCTACATTTATTATATGTGGCTTTGTATATTTTAAGAGTAAAATATTTTCAAATGATAAAAAAATGGCAAAAAATTAGTTCTCTTTAGGAAAACTGAGTACTTGATACATGAGCACCATGGGAATATGTAGCCAAAGGCCGAAAGATGGCAAGCAATTTGTTGCCCGCTGAGGCAGGAGTACATGACTAGTGAAACTTACTGGTACTTTGTCCCTTAACCATCCTATCTTATTGAACTCTTTTGTTTGTGAGAAAACAAACTGAGAACTTGAAGTAGACAATCCAGACTATGCAAAGAATTTTTAATGTATTTGCAAGCCTGTTATTATTCAGAAAATGGATATGAATTATTAAACATGGAAATAATCTCACCTAAGAAGAAAAAAGGAACCTGTCAATTTGGCTCTCCTCCCTTGATGACTGTTGGAGTGTCTCTTGCCAGGATATCCTGGACACTTTCATCCCTGCATACTGGAGATTCTATAGTGTTTGGGAGGGGAGGAACTTTATGGATAGATGACAATTATTGCATATAGGATATAAAACAGGTCGAATACTGACTATGTAGACACCATTGCAAGGTGTTCGAACACACAAGTTTACATGTCTGTCTCCCATGCCAACCTCTGAACTCTTTGAGAGCAGTGATCAAATTAGTCACCCTGTCTGCAATGTTTTACTTTCTGTTCTAGCAGCTGTGTCCTGGAAGACACTTAAATGTATGTAGAACATATGAAGCCAATGAAGTGGATGTCCAGGCACTGACTACCAATACAACAATCCTTCTGTTTTTTGTGCACAATCATGTCAGCCTTTTCCCTCAGAGGAATAAACAATAAATGTCTCATTTACTAAAACTTTTTAGTATTAGCATTATTATTATTCATTGCTTAGGTAAAATTTTATATTACTTTATATCAATGACCTACTTTTCTTTTTTCATGTTAAATGGAGTTTAAAAGAAAACAGAGAAACTGTTGGCCCTCTTTTTTTTCTCTAATTACACATTACTACTATTGGGAACACATTACTACTATTTATATTCACATTCCATGTATTATAATACTTTCTTTTACAACAATATTCTTTAAAATATTCCTAGAAAGTTATTAAGATTGATGCCTCTTGTAAACATTCCTCTAGTTCAGGCATTACATATCTTTAGAGACTTTACAGGCTTCTTCAATCTTTTTCAAAGTTGTTTATAGAATTTTAATAATACTAAGGCATCACAACAAATTTAAGTTCCTCCCCCAAATCTCTTAGTTATTGGCTATCTACACCATTAGAAAGGTTTCCAGTGCTACTTAGGCTATAGGTTTATATGTGAGAGACTTAATGCACAGATTAAAGTTAGCTTACTTTGATGTTGGTCACTTTTTAGTTTGTTACAAAAGAGGCAAGGGAGGGTTAAAAATATCGTTATGAAATCAACACCACTACTTGACCAAAAAACTTAAACCAGAAGCACAAGTTGTATTTTCTCAATGAGAAAAATGAAGAAAACTGATGCAGAAGATACTTTTCATTGTTATATGAACTTGGAAAATTACTTATCTTCTGTGCTCCAGTCTCCCATTCTATAATATAGGTTTAATAATAATACCTGTGTTGTACTGGGGTTGTGGTTCAGTGGCACAGTGCTTGCCTAGCATGTGTGAGGCACTGGGTTTGGTCCTTGGTACCACACAAAAATAAAAACAAATAAAATAAAGGTATTGTGTCCATCTACAACTAAAAAAGAAAAATACCTGTGTCATAGGGATGTGATTAGGATTAAATGATTTAATATAAATATCTAAGTTTAATATAAATACCTAGGATGGTGCCAGGCCCATAATAAGTATTCTAATAGTTACTGGATTAAAAAAATGACTTGTGTCAATAATACCCTAAAGCTGTGATTTAATTTTCATTTTATATTCATTAAACTTTATGTTCTCTTTAGCCATCATTTGCCACAGTAAATATGGATACTATGTGGCCATACAATCTAGCATGCTCACTTAGATATAGCTGGCACTCCTATTAATTATTTCAGTTTTGACAGTTATATTATTCGATGACCTGGGAATGAAATATACTTTTCAAAAAGTGCCAGTAGAATATTATTGTGCAGATACTTTGTATCCTTTAAAAGGTAAATACCTCCAGCTATACAATATTCTACTAATTCTAAGCTTTTGAATATTAGCTTAAAACAGTCCCATAAGGAAGAACTACTAACTTACTATCACAATTTGCTGCAGTAGTTGAATACTTCTTAGAAATAAGACTGAAGTCCACTCCCTATTGGATTAAGCTAGGCCCTGAAGCAGCACTTGCTCTAGGAAGTACAACTGAATGATTTCAAGAGAACTCAAAGGGTGCCTTTGCCTTTAGCTGGTTGTAAAACATTTGAAGCAAACCATGGAAACCTCCCAGAGTCAATCTTCAAACACATGCTAAACTTGCTTCTCATGAGGAATTTCAGTTTAACATTATATGGATGTCAGAACAAACAAAAATTCCACCCTAAGAGTAGAGATTTCCAACATAATTCAGGATATGCTTCTTTCTATCCAATAGATAAAAGGGCTGATTATATTCAATTAGCCTTCTGTGGCCAATGAGTTTACATTTTAATTCATTCATATTGAGAGGAAAAAAACCAAACCAAACCCAATTTTTATTGCTTAAGAAATTATCAGTTAAAAACAAAACTCCCCATCTTTCTTTCAGTCCCTCTAGAGAATTACTTAACTCCTGTCTTTGTATGAATAGTTTCCTTCCTTTGCTATATAGAATTAAAAAGTTGGGGAATGGAGGGTAGGACCAGTAGCACTCCCTAGTCATTGTGTCAATCCAGAACCCCTTCCCATATTTTTAAGTACCCAATGTGGCATAAGCTTCCAACTGAATACCTCTTTTTACCCAAAGAGACTGTAATCTATAGAAGCCAGCAAATGCTATCAAAGTTTCTGGGCAAGGAGAGCTTTCAATGCTTTTAAAATCCTCAGAGAGGTAACCTGGTTAGTTCACCCTGCCAGGCAAACAAATAAAAGTTGCCTTGCATAGTCAAATGCATTGGTTTCCCTAAAAATGACTCTGGAAATAAACTGGGCCAGGCCCTGTGTTCAATCCCCAGTACTGCAAAAAAAAAAAAAAAAAGCTGGTTCAGCTGGTTGCAGTGGTGCATACCTGTAATCCCAGTGACTTGGAAGGCTGAGGCAGAAGGATCACAAGTTTGAGGGCAACCTCAGCAATTTAGCGAAACCTTATCTCAAAAACAAAAACAAAAACAAAAAACAAAAAAAGAAAAAGTAGTGGCAGGAATGAAGTTTAGTGGTACAGTACCCTTGGGTTCCATTTCCAGTATCATAAAACAAACAAACAAAACAAAACAAAATAAAAAACCACCCCCAAACAACAACACAAGTCAAAACGGGTACAGAGAACAATGATGATACAATATGTTTTGAGAGAAATGGGAGAGTCTTTTAGTGGGGAGGAAGGGAAAGAGTAAAGAAATTGCTTTTAAATAATCATCTTGCATAGCACCAGTGCTCAACAAATGTTTTTGGAAGACAATACAGTAGTCTCTGGCCTCAAGTTAACAGATAAGGTGATAAGTAGAGGATGGTATGTGGACATCCAAATGATACATTTTTTTCTTTTTTGGTCACAATCACTGTGAATTCTAGAACATGACATTTTTACTATATAAATACTTGCCAGATCAAATACAAATCAAATCAAATCATGCTTTGTAAACCACTGCTAACTGCTGCTTGAAGGTGTTCCTCAATTATATTTTAACCCTTGTGCTAATTTCTTATTCAAACATTAGTTGGCCTTTAGGAAGATTTTGTTTGTAGAACTGCAATTAAATTTTAAATTATGAAAAGAAAGCTTACCAAGTAATTGATGACATAAAATCTGTCATATTCTCTGTTCTTAGGATTGATTCTGCGATGCTGCTTTTTTCTCATGTGATCTCTAAGTGTATTTTTGTCCCTAAAGTTCTTCTCACAATATAAGCACTGCAAACTAAAAGAAATACACAAACATTGTTAAGATTAAACAAATTTCTTGGATAGTAACTATAGGAGACCTTTACTGAGGTTGTATTTATTCATTTTAGGTCATACAAAATATTCAAACTACCCTTGCTGGAATTATCTTGTTGCTTTAGTAATCAAACTACTTATTCTAAAATGAAAATGTACGTATACTCTTTAAATAATTATAATAGCAACTAGCACTGACTGTCTCTATTGCATATGATAATTAACACATGGTAGGTATATCCTGTAAATTAATTTGCAGGTTTGCCAGTCCCTAGTACCTGTGGAAGTTTTAAAATATTTGTCCTCTCTGTTGTTATTTTCTGATTTCTAAACTGAATATTTACATTTTAGATTTTTTATAATTTCATATATATTTATTGAGCACTTATTAGGTGTTATGAACTGTTATGTATACATATATATGAATAAAATACACAGTAGCTGTTTTTTATTATATCATTCTCATATGCCTTCTGCTTGAAAATCTCCATTAATAGGGAATTAATTCATCACTTAATAAAGCAGTAATTACCAGTATTGAGCAGATTACTAACAAAAATGTTTTTTTCTTACCAAGTCTGACAGCTGAAACTGCCTGCAATTTTTATCTATCAGTCATCAGAACCACAGAGTAAATCTAATCTCTTTTACATGAATTCTCAGTGATTGTAATCTTCCAATGTTTTAGTTCTGAATTTAAAAAATTTCTATTAAACATCCTTTTGCTTATTATACCACAGAAATAAGCATATTCTTTTAGAGCAAATAACTTAGGGGCAATAAGGTGATTACTGATATTCATTATTGCTAATCTTATTAGAATGCACATCATGTCTTTAAAACTGAATGGTGAAATGATTCATCTTAACATAATTGAATAATATAACAGAATTCAAATTAAGAACTTTTTTTTTTTTTTTTTTTTTAAAATCACACATCTGTATCTACTTCATTTATAATATGTTACTGCTCTTAATGTAGTGGGTTGAGATTCCAGGCAAGTGAGCATTATATTTTCTTCAAAAACTAGGTCCTGGGGGGAAAAAAAAATCTTTGGGCCCTTTCCTAGAAAAAAGTAGAAACGTTTTTGAAAGCCATTTTGATGATTCAGAAAATTTCTTGCATTATTTTAATAGGTTAAGCTTTAAATATTCAAGGTTGCTAGAATATAACCTTGGGACAATGAAGTATTATATATAAATTTGAATAAAAAATAAACGGTGAAAGAATACATATACTTGGCTATATGACACATAAAACTGAATTAACTAATACCTTGAAAATATATTTCTTTATTAAATATGTAAAAAAGTTACAATGAAAAGTAAAGGAATTAAAATTTCAAATTGAGAATAGTGACTTCTGGGGAGATAAAAAGAGGGAAAGGCAAACAGGGAAACAAAGGAATAAATAATGTTCTATTTCTTAGACTACATGATGAGTACATTCTTCATACTCTACATGATATATCTTATATGGTATGTACACTGTTTGGCATAAGTGACATATTTTAATTGAAAAAATTTTAAAACACTAAAGTCAGTATATTCTACATAAGATAGGATGGTTGTACAAAATGCAAATTCTTCCAGCACAGGAGATTTCCATTTCTTCAATTACTTTTATCAAATTAATTTAAAAAATTCACAGAGTCCATTATTAAAATATGTCTAGGCCATGTTTCATAAAATAGTACTTACTTGTCAAGCTTCTTCTGTAACATACAAAGAAATTCACTGCAGTTTACAATGTTGTCTGGCAATCCAATATTGAAAGCATGCTCTCTGGCCATGTGGTTCAAAAGAACAGATCTATGAAGAATTTGTATTATTTACAAATCATCTAGGAACAATTAGGCTAGAAATAGCAATCATGTAACAATAATTAAGAGGACTAAACAAGCACTAAACACTGGCATAAACATTTCAGCTATTGAAGAGTAATATGTTATAAGGTACGTAAATACAAACATAATCACATCAGTACTGGAAGGCTAAAATTAACTGACACTGGAAGGGTTATCCTCACAGCAATAACAGGTTTCTGTCCTTTAACCTATTAAATAAATTGTGCTTCCTCTACTTTTGCAATTGATAGCGAGTATGATGGTTAATTTTAGATATCAACTTTACTAGATTAAGAGATACTAGAGAACTGGTGAAGTATTTTTGGACACGTCTGTGAGGGTGTCCAGAGGAAACTGGCATGAATCTAAGTGGACTAAGTTGGGGAAGATGTGCCTTCAATTTAGGTGGGCACCATCTGGTTAGTGTGGATAAAAGAAAAAACAGAGAAAAGGTGATTTGGTCTCTCTTCTGAGGCTAGGGAACTATCTTCCTCCCAACCTTGGATACCAGAATTCCAGGCTCTCTGGCTTTGGGACTCCAAGACTTTACTCTGGTGGCCCCAGGGTTGAGCCTTCAGTCTCAGACTGAGAATTACACCATCAGTTTTCCTGGTTCTTAGCCCTTCAGACTGCGCCATGATCCTGGCACCTGAGGGTCTCCAACTCTTAAGACACCCTGTCATGGGACTTCTCAGCCTCTATGATTGCATACATCAATTTCTCTAATAAATCTCTTGTTTTACCATCCCCACAAATATCCTATTGGTTCTTTCTGTCTGGAGAACTCTAACTAATACAATGAGGGAGAGATGAAACAACTGCCTAACAGTAAGATAACCTGTGATCATAGACATTTATCTAATTTGAACCCACAGTTAACAGGTCTAATTACTTTCAAGGGTTATGATGAACTGGAAACACAATGACCAGCCTATTGATTAGTCTATGCAGAAAAGGAAAATTTTATTTTTTTTCTAAATTTAATTTTAACTGACATATAAAAACATAAATGTACATATTTATGGGCTAACATATGAAATTTTGATAAATACATTAATGTAATGTTTAAATCAGGTTAAACATTTCTGTCTCCTTGAACATTTATCATTTATTTATGGTGAAAATATTCACACTCTTTATCTTCTAGCTTTCTGAAATACAAAGTGCATTATCATTTTATCTAGTCACTCTATTGTGCAATAGCACAGAGCAACTTCTTACTCCTGTTTTATCTATAACTTTATGCCCACTGATCAACCTCTCCCCATCCTTCCTTACCCCATGTTCTCCCCAGATTCTGGTAATCACCATTCTATTCTCAACTTCTATGAGATCAACTTTGTTTATATTCCACCTAACAATGAAATCATGTGGTACTTGTCTTTCTGTGACATATCCTCAAGTTCTATCCATGTTCACAAAAATGAAGGATTTCATAGTTTTATATGGCTGAATAGTTTTCCACGGTGTATATATGTGAAATTTTAATTTATGTAACTTCTACAATAGCAAATAAGCAAATGTGTAGAATACATCCCTCAAGGACGTTATTACAACTTTACTTCATAAAATAAAGGTGAAAGTTTTGTGGAACTTATCAGTATACAACCCACATAAATATTATATGCATATTGGCATATTACATTTTATTTTATGTAGCTTATTTAGATATTTTCCTTGCCCCCACCAATTTTTGGGGGGGCGGGGACAAGGATTGAACTCAGGGGCATTTAAATTATATCCCTAGCCCTTATTTTTTATTTTGAGGCAGGTTCTCATTAAGTTGCTTAGGGTCTCAGTAAATTGCTGACACTGGCCTTGAATTTGTAATCCCCTTGCCTCAGCCTCCTGAGTTGCTAAAATTACATGTGTACCAACTGCACCCAGCCCAAATTGCTTAGTTTCTTTTTTCCCTTGAGGAAGTAAAATAAAGCAAACATTTCCAAAAATGCCTGTTGGCCTTTTCTTTTTACTATGTGGAGATATGTTTATTAATCTGTGGTTAACATGCTCAATGTGTAACTGCTTAACTATTGCTGACAACTATGACTAAAAGTACTTGTTGGGGTAGTTCAGAGAGTCTTTTGTGCCTACAAGGGTTCTTCTTGGCCAGCCTAGCTAAAGGCAGATCCTCCCAGAGGTACAGAGATGTTCTCCATGATTCTAGGCTCTGCTACTTCCCCACAGTGAATGTGCCCATGGGAGCCTAACTTGGCTCCAAAGATTTTTTGTTTTTGAACCTGCTAACCAGGCAATCAGATCTTAAAAGGCAGGGAAGAGGATAAATAGGCAGTTGTCTCAAAGCAAGCAGGTTTGTTGGGAGGTTTCTCCTGCCCATGTGCTCAACTGCTACCATCCCTGTTGCTTTCTGGATTGAGGTAAGTTCTGTGAAAGGACAAAACAGAGGGAGGCCTGCCCAAAGAAGAGTTTTGGTGGAGTTACCAGTCTGTGCTTGGCCCCAGGCTGTAATCTGATATTCTTTGGTATCTTCTGGCTTTAGGGAGCAGTGGCCCAAACTTAGCCATAACTTCCTTTGGGTTCTAAGACTGATGTCCAGGCAGTAAAGGGCGGCCAGGTATAGTTAGAATGGTAGCAGGCTCAAGAAGGTATTGTCCTCTCTAGTAACTCCTAATTGTGTGAGCCAGTTCCTATAATAATATCCTCTTATATAATTCTATGTCTCAGAGAACCCTGACTAATGTAACCATCTAAGTGGTATGCTAGCTAAGTCAATTCTGGGTTAATTCACCCTATTCCTGTGAGTTGAGAAGGTGGGAAGAAGTCACTACCATCTGCATTCACTCTACTAACCTTAGCAGCTGGTTGGTGAAGGCAGGAAAATCTTTGGGGCTTTGGAGCAAAGATGGCACCTTACTTGATCTGCTTCATCTTAGATTTTGAAATTCTTTAATTTATGATCAGTCAAGATGATCTCCTAAATTGTTGACTTCATTTTTTAAATTTAAATTAATTTCCAGCTAACTAAAGTTTAATTTCTGAAAAATTAACTACATGACAATTTAAAATAGTATTTGAACTCTTTACCTTCTTTATAAACTTAACTTTATCATTAATCATACAATTTGTCTTCAAATTACAAGTTTCACAGAAACTTAGTTTTCATAATTTTTTTCACATTTACATCTTTTTTCACATTCATATTAGTTCTTAAAGGCATTTAATAATTATTAATATGTAATTAATACATTTTGGGTTGAATTGAAATTAATTAACTAATACAATTATTAATATGTAATTAATACATTTTGGGTTGAATTGAAATTAATTAACTAATACAATTATTAATATGTAATTAATACATTTTGGGTTGAATTGAAATTTTACTTACAGTATTACTTCATGAACTAGACTTCTTCCTTCTACACTTTAGAAATAAAAATTTCCCTACACAATTCTCTCCAATCTCATTTTTCCCCCTACTAGATTAATATTAGCTGTTATCAGTCTTCTCTAAACTTTTTAAAAAGGTATTTATTTATTTTTTAATTGTAGTTGGACACAATACTTTTATTTATTTATTTTTATTTGGTGCTGAGGATGGAACCCAGGGCCTCACACGTGCTAGGCAAGTGCTCTACTGCTGAGCCACAACCCCAGTTCTCTTCTTTAAACTTAAAACGGTATTTTGGGCAAATTGGATTAAGTTAAAGGAATAGCTTTGAGAAGAACTTTCATAAGGATGTCTGAAAATCTGTTCCTCCATAAAAGCAATTAGGACATGGGCAAAAATTGTCAAAAATCAACTTTGTTTTTAGAACTCTGGAAATTCACCAGAGGCTTACAAAAATCTAATGAGCAGTTATTGAAGAAAATGGCAATGGGTTGGGGTTGTGACTCAGTGGTAGAGTGCTTGCCTAGCATGTGGGAGGCACTGGGTTTGATTCTCATCATTGTATTTAATATATGAATAAAATAAAGGTCCATCAACAACTAATAATATATATCATTTTTTAAAAATAGTAAGAATGATGAGCTTTGTGGTGCTCTATTTCATTCTTATCTTAAGCTACATCACAGCTTTGAAACCCAGCAGCCTCACAGGCACTGGAGGCCAAAGGAGGAGTGGGACATTTCTAAAGAATCATTACTATTTGTCTGTCAGGTACTGAGAAAAGTCCCATTCACAGGGTTTTTCTTTATATGACCTAAGTCTACTCAGGCTATTTGCCAAAAAAAACCCAAAAAACAAACAAAAAAAATCAGTGACAACTTTTTTAACATTACAGCTGCCTGAGGAAAATATTGATTGGGGCAAATAATAGCCTAGCCAAAACACCTATAAAGAACTGGGGAATGAGATGCCTATAGAAAAATCTGAAAAGTTCTGGCATATTCCTGGGGATCTAGAAGGCCACATCCATGTGCAAGCTCAGGAAAAAAATGAGAAGACCTAATCTCTTACTTGTAGCTAATTCTGAGCCTCTACTCAATCATGAAGTGTAGGCTATGGCAGAGCTGTAAACTGATGTAGGGTTGAAGGTATTTTTCAATCTATATACAGAACCCTAGACAAAGAACTGATCATTAGTGAACACTAAGCTAACTGGGTAAAGACTTCATATTCCACACATGATCAAGAGTACACAGTTTAAAGAATTAGTCTATGAAAGTTACTAAACATACAAATAGCAATAAAAACCCTGGTGAAGCAGGGGAGGAATCTGATTGAGTTGTCACATTATATTATTTATTATTTTCTTATTTTTTTTCACATTATGTTATTTAGATGTTGAGTTTTCAAAAAAAATCATACGCAAACAAACCAAACAAAAAACCCTAATTCATACACATGGGAAAATTAACAGAAATTACTCCTCAGCATCCCATAAGAATAAATAAATAAAGTGAAGGTATTCTGTCCATCTCCAACTACAAAAAAAGAAAATACAAACAAAAAAAATTACTCCAGAAGAAGTCCAGAATCTCACAAAGGCTTTAAGTCAGCTAAGATGAATATGTTCAAAAAAACTAAAGGAAACCATGTCTAAAGAATCAAAGGTAAGTCTGAGAATGATACCTTACCAAACAAAGAACATTTAACAACCACAAAAAAGTAGGAATTATAAAAAAGATTAGGAATTTTGAAGTTGAAAAGTATAATGACTGAACTGAAAATTTTACTAAGGTACTCAAAAGAAACTTTGAGCTGGCAGAAGTAAGAATCACTGAGTTTGGGCTGGGGATGTGGCTCAGTGGTAGAGTGCTTGCCAAGCAGATGTGAGGCACTGGGTTCGATCTCAGCACCACATAAAAATAAAATAAAGATATTGTGTCTGCCTAAAACTAAAAAATAAATTAAAAAAATAATTTCACTGAGCTTGAAGACTGATCAATTGAGATTTTCCAGTGCAGGTACAGGAGAAAAATGATTGAATAAAAATAAATAGAGTCTTAGAGCCATTCTCTACCAACATATGTATAATAGGATTTCTGAAAGATGCGGGTAGAGGAGAAGTGGTAGAAAGGAGATCTGAAAAATTATTGTCTGAAAACTTCCCATATCCAATGAAAAAACACAAGAAGCCAACAAACGTCAAACAGAAGATACCAACGAAATGCAAATCAAGATATAAACTGTCAAAGGGTAAAGACAAAGAGTGAGTCTTGAAAGTGGAAAGAAAAAAATTAACTCATGATATATGAGGGATCCTTAATAAGACTAACATTTGAATTCTCATCAGAAATTATGGATATGAGAAGGCAGGGGGATGACAAAGTGCTGGGGGAAAAAAAAGACTACAAACCAAAAACTTGATGTCAAGAAAAACTGCTTTTCAAAAAATGAAGAAGAATGGGGCTAGGGTGTGGCTCAGTGGTAGAGAGCTTGCCTGGCAAGTTTGAGGGCACTGGGTTTGATCCTTAGCATCACATAAGGATAAATAAATAAAATAAAGGTATTGTGTCCATCTACAACTAAAATAAAATAAAATAAAATAAAATAATAATAATAATAATAATAATAATAATAATAAAAGAAAAGAAAGGAGGAGAAATCAAGGTACTCCCAAATAAACAGAAACTGAAAAAATTTCCTACTAGCATTTCTTCCCAATAAGAAACTAAAGGGAGTCCTTTAGGCACTTGACGATAACTCATATCTAAATGAAGAAAAAAAGAACACTGGCAAAGCTAATTACAAAGGTAAATATAAAAGGCAATATACATGTATGTTTGGTGACAACTCTTCTTTTGTCTAATAGACAATTGCATAAATCAGTAAAATGTCTTTTGTATGGTCACAATGGAACAAAGGGTGGGGGAGGGAAAAAAACTATGTTGGAGTAAATTATTTTATACCACTGAAATTATGTTATAGGTATTGATTCGAACTAGATTTATATAAAATTAAAACTCTAATCATAATCCCCAGAGAATTCAGTAAGAAAACAGCTCAAAAATATGATAAAAAACCAACAGGAAATTAAAAAACCATATTCTGGAAAATGCCTATTCAATACAAATGAAGCAGTAATGGAGGAGGAAAGGAATAAAACAATCTAAAAAATAGAAAACAAATAGCAAAATATTAGAAGTAAATTCCATGTTATTAGTAATTAATTATATTAGACACAAAAGAAACACTGCAATCAAAAGGCACAATGGATTTTAAAAAATGACCCAACTATATGCTGTCTATAAGAGATACACTTTAGACTCAGACAAATAGGTTAAAAGAAATAGCTAGTACATTCCATGGTCAAAGGTGTACTGGGGAGGATAAAGAATAGATCTAGCAAAGACTTAGGTATTATACCAGAAACCCTACACCTACTAGCAGAAAATGCAGGCCCAACACTTCAACATGTCAGCTTAGGAGCCGACTTCCTCAACAAAGCTCCTAAAGCCCAAGAAATAAAATAAAAAATCAATAAATGGTATGGTATTAAACTATTCTTGTTGTGAATACCAATAAGTGGTATTCACAGCAAAGGAAACAGTCAAGAACATGAATAAGAGAGCCTACAGAATGGGAGAAAAATTTTGCCATCCACACCTCAGATAAGGAGTTAATTTCCAGGATATACAAAGAACTCAAAAAGATGAACACCAGAAAAACAAATAATCCAATCAATAAATGGGCATAGGAACTAAACAGACACTTCTCAAAAGAAGAAATATAATAAAAACAATATATGAAAAAATGTTCAACATTTCTAGCAATTAGAGAAATGCAAATCAAAACTACACTGAGATTTCACTTCACTCCAACCAGAATGACAATTATCAAGAACACAAGTAACAATAAATATTGGTGAGGATGTGGGAAAAAAGATACACTCATACATTGTTGGTGGAACTACAAATTAGTGCAATCACTCTGGAAAGCAGAGTGATTTCTCAAAAATCTAGGAATGTAACCACCATTTGATCTACTTATCCTGCTCCTCGGTATATAGCCACAGGAGTTAAATCAGCATACTGCAGCGATACAGCCACGTCAATGTTTATATCAGTGCAATTCACAATAACTAAGCTATGGACCCAACTTAGATATTCACCAACAGAGGAATGGATAAAGAAATTGTGGTATGTATACAATGGAATATTACTCAGTCATAAAGAAGAATGACTTTATGACATTCACTGGTTAGTGGATGGATTTGGAGACTATGAAGCCAAGTGAAATGAGCCATTCCCCCAAAACCAAAGGTCGAATGTTCTCTCTGATATGTGGATGCTATAAGGGAGGCAAAGGGATTAGAAGTTCAGTGGATTAGATAAAGGGCAATGAAGGGAAGGGAGCGGGGATAGAAATAGAAAAGACAGTGGAATGAATCTGATATAACTTTCCTAGGTACATATATGAATACACCACAGTGAATCTCAACATCAGGTACATCTACAAGATTGGGATCCTAATTAGAATTATTAAATCTAATTAGATATTAGATATATCTACTATAATAGATATATGGATTATATCTAATTAGAATTAGGTATATTCCACATGCTTATATAAATATGTTAAAATAGATTCTACTATCATGTGTAACTAAAAATAACAAACAAACAAAAGAAAAGAATAGATCTAGAATAAGAAAGTACTCATTCCTCTTCCTTGTCCATTATTTAACTCTTTGTGTTTGGATTCTTTTTATGTCCCTATAATGGGAAAATACAAATGCAGGACTGCAGTATAGCTAATATAATAACAGTGATAAATTCTGAAAAATGGGTTATTAGCAATTTCATCACTGTGAAAAAATCACATAATGTACTTATACAAAGCCAGATGCTATAGGTCAAGCACTCAATGTGGCCTCCTGATGCAATCAAGACACACGGTGAACAAGAACATGAGGCTGCTGCTGGCATAGTACAGCACACTGTTTTATAATAAATTTTAATAAATAGAAGGAGTACATGCTAAAATAATGATAAAAAGTATAGTAAATATGATTAAGAGTTGGGATATTGAACCATCCTGATCTCCAGAGAGGGGAGAGAGGCTGCAGATTGAGTTCAATGATCTAACCAGTCACAGTAACATAATGAAGTTCCAATAAAAATTCAACATCAAAGCTCAGTGGAGATTGCTGGTTAGTGAATTCAGTGGTGTGTCAGGAGGATGACAGGTCCTTATTCCTTGAGGAAAGGGCACAAAACTCTGCATTTAGGACCCCCTCAGATCTCGCCTTATCCAGCTCTTGACTTGGCTGTTCTAATCTATATTCTTTCATAATCAACCTATAATTATAAGCACAATGCTTTCCTGAGTTCTATGAGTCATTCTAGAGAAATATCAAACAAATGAAAAACTTCAGTCGGAACCTCTGACTTTTTATTTGGTCAAAAATTCAAGTACCCTGGGAACCCCTTAACTTATGATTGGCATCTAAAATGGGGGCGATCATGTTGAGGTTTGTAGCTGAAAACCTGTAGAATCTATGCAAACTATCAATGATTAGTTTTCAGAAATGAATTGTAGTGCACCAGTTGATTTTGGATCAATAAGGCTTGGTGACTTAATTAATAACATTACAACTTTTTGATTTTCATCATTTTTAATATTCAAAAGTGAAAAGCCAGGGATTGGGTATTTAGCACATTGGTAGAGTGCCTTCCTAGCATGTGTAAGGCCCTGGGTTTGATACACAGCATGGCAAAAAACAAAAATAAAAAAATAAAAAACAACCGAAACTAAAAACTGCCAAAGATTTAGCATTAACAAGTTAGTATAGAGAGGTACATCTGTAGTTTGTTGCATATGGTCTTACCTGTCAGCCAATTTTAAAAGCCCTACAGGATTAAATATCTATTTTTTGGTATTTTATTCCCCTGGTCAGCTTAGAGCAACCACAGTCCATGTTTGATGTCAGGCATATTAAAGAAAAAAAGTACTATTCATTTATGAAGGGGTCCTGGGCCAACCCATAAAACTTAATTAATACAACCTACAATTACAAATGTTTTAACAAGTTTTCAGATTAATAATGATAATATTTAAAGTTGCATAATGACAAACCTGTTTCCTACGAATTCCTCATTGCAAAACATACAAATGCCATGGAAATTGATATCATTTCGTTCTTGCTGCTGTTGTTCCAGAATTTCTTTCTGTAAAGTAGAAACAGATTTATATTATCTTTAATAAATACAAAGTTGGCAAATATCATAGTTAGAATGGGAGGAAAAGGGGAATGAAAGCACAAAGGGAGTACACAGAAATTGCTAGTTTTTCAAATTTTTCCACTATTGTCTTTGCATCAATACTCCAAGTCTGTACCATTAAAAATCTATAGAACACTCCAGTTAAACAGCTATGCAAGAAACTCAAAGTCAGCAAGGTTTTTCCACCCTGCTCTTAACCTTCTGTCTCCTATCCTCACCTTCCTAAAACAAAAATGTGGTGGGTTTTTTAACTCACTTCTTTCTCTAAATCTTAGTTTGTAATTAAGTTCTGCTCAATTTTCACTTGAACTGTTTCATGTTATTTTTCTCCACCATTTCCATTGCCATCACCCTGAGTCCAATTTTTATTCAGTTATGGGAGTACTAGAAATAAATCTCTTATAGAATTGTCTGATTATAATCCCTTTTTTTCATACCTATATTTTATCCAGCTAGAAATACTTTTTAAAATGTTGTTTTCATGCACATTAATCTTGTACATTCCAACTCAAATAATTAAAAATATGCTCTGGTTGTGTCTGACTTTAATCAGGATGGTTCTATACTTCTCTTTCCCAGAGGTCATTTTATTTCCCTTGGCCTTTTCACTCTTACAAATTTAATCTGTTCATCAAAAACTTGATTCCTATTTCTGACTCAGTGCAACAGTTAAGAACCACTGAAACACAGAGGAGATTTAGAATTGAAATTTGGCTCTCACCTATAATCAATATTTACCTTTTTAATCCCCAGTTACCTCATTTAAAAAATAAAATATCATCTTGCAGCACTGATTATAGAAATAAATCAGCTAATTTATGTAAAGAGTTCAAACTGTGTGGTGGGGATGTGGCTCAGCAATAGAGCACTTGCCTAGCATGCTTGAGGCCCCGGGTTTGACTCCCAGCATCATAAGGAAAAATAAAAATCAAATTGTGAATTAAATGTAGGATATTATTGTTATTGAGACCACTTAAATTCTTGGTGTCATCTCTGGTAGTTATTGCCTCTTTTGTCTTCTGAAGGAAGACAAAGGCCTTTTCTCATATTAATATATTCTATTTCTCCTAACCACATCTAACTTCTCTACTCCAGTAAGATTTCCTTTCTGAGCTGTTGCTCAGGACTGGCTTTTCAGAATATGTGAGCTCAAAGGGACCTCATGAAACTGTCTACTAACTCTGTAAAGAGATATTATGGTGGCATGTTTAAAGCTACATAACTACTTGGTGCTAAAGTTGTTGCTACTTTCATGAAACAGTAGCTTTTTTCTTAGAAGGTACCTACTGTAGTATATCCATATACAGAGCTTAAAACAATGATCTATTTAGTAAACAAGTTCAGAGTCTAGGAAATAGAGATCTGGAGAGGAAGGGCAGCACTAAAATTTTCCTACAGCATATCCACACTAAAATTTCATTGAAATGAGGCAGAGACGGATGAGGTGCTTAGAATTTGAGTCTTTAGAACACACTAAAATGACAGGATTCATAATATATGCAAGTACAATTATGCCTTATTTCTAATTAAAAAAGAGTTATTTTACATAAGTGAACTTTTTAGATCATGGAGATTTTATTTATTTATTTATTTTTTTTAAAATTTTTTATTGTTGGTTGTTCAAAACATTACAAATTTCTTGATATATCATATTTCACACTTTGATTCAAGTGGGTTATGAACTCCCATTTTTACCCCATATACAGATTGCAGAATCACATCAGTTACACATCCATTGATTTACATATTGCCATACTAGTGTCTGTTGTATTCTGCTGCCTTTCCTATGCTCTACTATCCCCCCTCCCATCCCCTCCCCTCCCCTCTTCTCTCTCTACCCCCTCTACTGTCATTCATTTCTCCCCCTTGTATTATTTTTCCCTTTCCCCTCACTTCCTCTTGTATGTACTTTTGTATAACCCTGAGGGTCTCCTTCCATTTCCATGCAATTTCCCCTTCTCTCTCCCTTTACCTCCCACCTCTCATCCCTGTTTAATGTTAATCTTCTTCTCCTGCTCTTCATCCCTACTCTGTTCTTAGTTACTCTCCTTATATCAAAGAAGACATTTGGCATTTGTTTTTTAGGGATTGGCTAGCTTCACTTAGCATAATCTGCTCTAATGCCATCCATTTCCCTGCAAATTCTATGATTTTATCATCTCTTAATGCAGAGTAATACTCCATTGTGTATAAATGCCACATTTTCTTTATCCATTCGTCTATTGAAGGGCATCTAGGTTGGTTCCACAGTCTTGCTATTGTGAATTGTGCTGCTATGAACATCGATGTAGCAGTGTCCCTGTAGCATGCTCTTTTTAGGTCTTTAGGGAATAGACCAAGAAGGGGAATAGCTGGGTCAAATGGTGGCTCCATTCCCAGCTTTCCAAGAAATCTCCATACTGCTTTCCAAATTGGCTGCATCAATTTGCAGTCCCACCAGCAATGTACAAGTGTACCCTTTTCCCCACATCCTCGCCAGCACTTGTTGTTGTTTGACTTCATAATGGCTGCCAATCTTACTGGAGTGAGATGGTATCTTAGGGTGGTTTTGATTTGCATTTCTCTGACAGCTAGAGATGGTGAGCATTTTTTCATGTACTTGTTGATTGACTGTATGTCCTCCTCTGAGAAGTGTCTGTTCAGGTCCTTGGCCCATTTGTTGATTGGGTTGTTTGTTTTCTTATTGTCTAATTTTTGGAGTTCTTTGTATACTCTGGATATTAGGGCAATATCTGAAGTGTGAGGAGTAAAGATTTGTTCCCAGGGTGTAGGCTCCCTATTTACCTCTCTTATTGTTTCTTTTGCTGAGAAAAAACTTTTTAGTTTGAGTAAGTCCCATTTGTTGATTCTAGTTATTAACTTTTGTGCTATGGGTGTCCTATTGAGGAATTTGGAGCCCGACCCCACAGTATGTAGATCGTAGCCAACTTTTTCTTCTATCAGACGGCGTGTCTCTGATTTGATATCAAGCTCCTTGATCCATTTTGAATTAACTTTTGTGCATGGTGAGAGAAAGGGATTCAGTTTCATTTTGTTGCATATGGATTTCCAGTTTTCCCAGCACCATTTGTTGAAGATGCTATCCTTCCTCCATTGCATGCTTTTAGACCCTTTATCAAATATAAGATAGTTGTAGTTTTGTGGATTGGTTTCTGTGTCCTCTATTCTGTACCATTGGTCCACCCGCCTGTTTTGGTACCAGTACCATGCTGTTTTTGTTACTATTGCTCTGTAGTATAGTTTGAAGTCTGGTATCGCTATACTGCCTGATTCACACTTCCTGCTTAGCATTGTTTTTGCTATTCTGGGTCTTTTATTTTTCCATATGAATTTCATGATTGCTTTCTCTATTTCTACAAGAAATGCCGTTGGGATTTTGATTGGCATTGCATTAAACCTATAGAGAACTTTTGGTAATATCGCCATTTTGATGATGTTAGTTCTGCCTATCCATGAACAGGGTATATTTTTCCATCTTCTAAGATCTTCTTCTATTTCTCTCTTTAGGGTTCTGTAGTTTTGATTATATAAGTCTTTCACCTCTTTTGTTAGGTTGATGCCTAAGTATTTTATTTTTTTGAGGATATTGTGAATGGAGTGGTTGTCCTCATTTCCATTTCAGAGGATTTGTCGCTGTCATACAGGAATGCCTTTGATTTGTGTGTGTTGATTTTATATCCTGCCACTTTGCTGAATTCATTTATTAGCTCTAATAGTTTCTTTGTAGACCCTTTTGGGTCTGCTAGGTATAGAATCATGTCACTGCAAGTAGTGATAATTTAAGTTCTTCTTTTCCTATTTTTATGCCTTTAATTTCTTTCCTCTGTCTAATTGCTCTGGCCAGTGTTTCGAGAACTATGTTGAACAGAAGTGGAGAGAGAGGGCATCCCTGTCTTGTTCCAGGTTTTAGAGGGAATGCCTTCAATTTTTCTCCATTCAGAATGATGCTAGCCTGAGGCTTAGCATAAATTGCTTTTACAATATTGAGGTATGTTCCTGTTATCCCTAGTTTTTCTAGAGTTTTGAACATAAAGGGATGCTGTACTTTGTGGAATGCTTTTTCCGCATCTATCGAGATGATCATATGGTTCTTATTTTTAAGTCTATTGATGTGGTGAATAACATTTATTGATTTCCGTATATTGAACCAGCCTTGCATCCCAGGGATGAATCCTACTTGATCATGGTGCACAATTTTTTTGATATGTTTTTGTATCCGATTCGCCAGAATTTTATTGAGGATTTTTGCATCTAGGTTCATTAGAGATATTGGTCTGTAGTTTTCTTTCTTTGAAGTGTCTTTGTCTGGTTTAGGTATCAGGGTGATGTTGGCCTCATAGAATGAATTTGGAAGTTCTCCCTCTTTTTCTATTTCCTGAAGTAGCTTGAAAAGTATTGGTATTAGTTCTTCTTTAAAGGTTTTGTAAAACTCTGCTGTATACCCATCCGGTCCTGGGCTTTTCTTAGTTGGTAGTCTTTTTATGGTTTCTTCTATTTCCTCAATTGATATTGGTCTGTTTAGGTTTTCTATATCCTCCTGACTCAATCTGGGCAGATCATATGACTTAACAAATTTATCTATGCCTTCACTATCTTCTAATTTATTGGAGTATAAGGATTCAAAATAGTTTTTGATTATCTTCTGTATTTCTGAAGTGTCTGTTGTGATATTGCCTTTTTCATCCCATATGCTAGTAATTTGAGTTCTCTCTCTTCTTCTCTTCGCTAGCATGGCTAAGGGTCTGTCGATTTTGTTTATTTTTTCAAAGAACCAACTTTTAGTTTTGTCAATTTTTTCAATTGTTTCTTTTGTTTCGATTTCATTAATTTCAGCTCTGATTTTAATTATTTCTTGCCTTCTACTTCTTTTGCTGTTGTTTTGCTCTTCTTTTTCTAGGATTTTGAGATGAAGTATGAGATCATTTATTTGTTGGTTTTTTCTTTTT